AGCAGCCATGGTTCCGGCTTCAGTTTCGGCTCCAGTACTGGCTCCCCGGCCGACGCCAGCCCCCCGTGTTTTGTCAGTGGTTCGGCCCACTCCAGCCCCTCGTGTCCTGTTGGCTCTCCGGCCGACGCCAGCCCCCCGTGTCCTGTTGGCTCTACGGCCGACGCCTACCCCATGTCCTGTACCGTTGGAGGTCCCCCCGACTACTCTTCTGCCGGGGGTCCTGCCAACCCTATGTCCTGTGCCGTTGGAGGTCCCACCGACTACTCTTCTGCCGGGGTTCTTGCCAACCCTATGTCCTGTCCCGTTGGAGGTCCCGCCGACTACTCTTCTGCCGGGGGTCCTGCCAACCCTATGTCCTGTGCCGTTGGAGGTCCCGCCGACTACTCTCCTGCCGGGGGTCTTGCCAACTCCATGTCCTGTCCCGTTGGGGGTCCCGCCGACTACTCTTCTGCCGGGGGTCCTGCCAACCCTATGTCCTGTGCTGTTGGAGGTCCCGCCGACTACTCTCTTGCCGGGGGTCTTGCCATCTCCATGTCCTGTCCCATTGGGGGTTCCGCCGACTACTCTTCTGCCGGGGGTCTTGCCAATCCTATGTCCTGTCCCGTTGGGGGTCCCGCCGACTACTCTTCTGCCGGGGGTCCTGCCAACCCTATGTCTTGTGCTGTTGGAGGTCCCGCCGACTACTCTCCTGCCGGGGGTCTTGCCAACTCCATGTCCTGTCCCATTGGGGGTCCCGCCGACTACTCTTCTGCCGGGGGTCTTGCCAATCCTATGTCCTGTGCCGTTGGGGGTTCCGCTGAGGGTCCTGCCAACTCCACGTCCAGTATCGTTGGGGGTCCTGCCGACACCTGTTCCGCTGTGGGTCCTGCCAACCCCATGTCCTGTCCCGTTGGGGGTCCCGCCGACTACTGCTCCGCCGGGTTTCCTGCCAACACCAGATCCTGTCCTGTTGGGGGTCCCGCCGACACCTGCTCCGCCAGATTTCCTGCCTACACCATATCCTGTCCTGTTGGGGGTCCCGCCGACACCTGTCCCGCCGGGGGTCCTGCCAGCTCCATGTTCTGTTCTGTTGGGGGTCCCGCCGACACCTGTCCCGCCGGGGGTCCTGCCAACTCTGTGTCCTGTCCTGTTGGAGGTCCCGCCGACACCTGTTCCACCGGGGGTCCTGCCAACTCTGTGTCCTGTTCCGTTGGAGGTCCAGTCGACACCAGCCCTTGCTCCATCCGGGGTCCCATTGGCACCGGCCCATGTCATGTTCGGGGTCCCGTCTGCGCCTGTCCCGTCGGCTCCGGTTCCTGTCCGGCCGATGCTGGCTCCTGCCCGTCCTCCGGAGTTGTCCCGTCAGCGCCTTCCTGCCCGGCCTCCGGAGCTGTCCCGTCAGCGCCTTCCTGCCCGGCCTCCGGAGCTGTCCCGTCGGCGCCTTCCTACCCGGCCTCCGGAGCTGTCCCGTCGGCGCCTTCCTGCCCGTCCTCCGGAGTTGTCCCGTCGGCGCCTTCCTGCCCGGTCTCCGGAGCTGTCCCGTCGGCGCCTTCCTGTCCGTCCTCCGGAGCTGTCCCGTCGCCGCCTTCTTGTTCGCCCTCGAGCCCGGCCCCCTGAGTGCCGCGGTCTTTGCCCTCGAGCCCGGCCTCCTGAGTTCCCCAGCCGCGGTCTTCGCCCTCGAGCCCGGCCTCTGGACTCTTCCAGCCGCTGCCTTCGCTCTCATGCCCGGGCCCATGAGTTCGCCCGCTGTGGCCTTCGCCCCTTTTTGGACTCTGCCTTGCCCCCGGGCCGTCCGCCCGGGACCCCTTCCGGGCCCGTCCTCCCGGGACCCCTTCCGGGCCCGTCCTCCGGACCCCCTCCACCCACCCTTTTGGCCCTGGGTGAAAACATTTTCACCCAAATCACCTCAGAGGTGGGGTGGTTTTGGCTAAACCTCTCTAGAAAGGTCAAATGTCACTTGTCACTTTGCATCAATCTTGATACAGGGTACTTATTATATGTTGTACTTTGGATTCCTAAAGCTTTTAGTCTACTAACCCATCATCCAAGGGTAGTTTTAACTATCTGTAAAAAATAATCTTTGGACGGACACTATAATTTACAGTTTTTTACTATTTAAAATCTGAATTTTCTTTAAAATAAAAAACATGTATATTGATTCTGACACTTCTACATCCAACTCACAGATGTAACCTTGCTTTGATAAAATAAATTATTCATATAACCCTTTTAGAAGTTAGGTTGTAGTCATTTGTTTTGGGCATGTCATTTTCGAGCCTGAAACATGAAAAACAGGCTTGGTGCTTAACAGGTTAAATGTTCTTGTTTATTTGTGAGATGCAGTGGCACAAAGAAAATGCCTGCTTTGTTTGGTAGTACTAGTTCTTGTTCCAGTCTGTTACTGTCACTTTGTTTTTGACACTTTAAAATACTACTATCCTACAAAAATGCTGTACAAATCAGATTTATTATTTAATAAAGAACATTTTTTCAAGTAAAAAATGGTTAAATTTCAAAATCATTTAAAAAAATAAATAATCTTTACATCTTTTTTTCAATATCGATATTATCGTACCGTGAGTTTTTGGTATCGTTACATCCCTAGTAAGTACTTAACCACTTCCGGTTCTCTCGTCTTAAAGTCAGTGGTCAATGGCTTTTAGTGAGAGGCCTTAATTAATTAAATAAAATATGTCAGTAAATGCAGCACTTGAGAACGACTGCAATGATAACTGACTAAATGAGACTACTCAACGTCATCATGCCAAACACGAGTGAGCCTTGAGTAAAGCGGTGGTGACGCCCAGCCATGCGAATGTAGTGCAGTTAGTTTATCACCTAATATAAGCTTTTTACTTCTGCTCATTGCATTTATGCCTCAAAAATAATAGAAAAAATGATATACATGATGTAAAGATTATCTTGCTGAACAGAACTTTCAATTATCATAAACAGATCCTATTTTCAAAAATACTCCAAAATCAAATGGAAAAATACAATTATTTTTTTTGTTGAGGGATCCCTTGCCCTGCTACCTTCTGGGTCGGCCCACAAAACTGACATCTCTGCACCACTCTATTCTCCTTTGTAAGAGGGGTTAAACATGTGCAGTATGTTCATAAATCTGAGCTGTATCTGTATGTGTGAGCAGAGCAGCAGGTTCAATTGCTTATCAGTTTGGTATCTCTTGTGAAAATTCAATTATTTATTAGGAAAAAAGCAACACACAATTATCTTTACATAGCATTGACACAGACAGTACACAGATTTGGAAAATGTAAATGTACAGACTTGAAACTGTATGATGCAAGTTGTTGTTCACAACTTTGATAACTCACAATGAAACAAATATGTATCCCTACAGTGTACAGTATGTCTATCTACACAAGCTTACAGTAGCTTTTATATTACTTTTGTGTCATGAAGATTACTTATGTGTGCAAAACATATACATACAGTACAATCCATTATATTAATTGAATTCATGACATTAGGGGCTAGTACCTTTCTTGAACAGAATGAAAATAAATATTGCATCTGCAAAGATTAGCAAATCCAGTATTACACCATCAAGCCAACCCAAGAGCCCGGGCATTAGTGTAGATACATTCTTCTTTCATTGCTTTTGCACCCCCAGTCCCTTTGCTAGATTTCCTTCTGATGAAGGTTGGTGCAGAATAAATCAACGAGTCATCTGTCTGTGAAAATATAGAGAGAAATGTTATGAGACAACATTTTTAGAGGAAAAACTATGCTAACAACTTTACAGGCTTGTCTTTTACTCTACCCGCTGACCTCGCTGATTTTGACCCGCTGTTGTTTCATTTGTATGCAGAGTAACAGCAGCTGTATTATAATGACACATTAAAAAAATCCATTCATGTAGGGCAGCTCTTGCCAAATATGTTTGATATATATTTGTATCAGTGAATGTACTTACTGTTGCAAACACCACAATATTTCCCCTGGAGTTTCTTGATTGCATAAATGAGAAAGCCATTAACAATCACACATATTGCCAAAGCAGCACCTAACAGAGATATGATGGTATTCTTCTGCTGCTGATTCAACATGAAGTCTGCTGACACAATGTGGGGAAAAAAGCAGATAATGAACATTAACATTTGGCGTGATTATGTTCTGGACCATTACTTGACCTTAATCAATCTCATATGCTACATTACTAATTACAGTTAAACATGATGCAGTTACCTGTAGTGTTGAGTTCTGATCCATTTCCAGAAATGATGTCCTCACATGTGGCCACATCGCAGTGACATGTGTTAGAAATTAAAATCAATGTTAAACAGCATAATTCAGTCTAAAACATATCGTCAGTTTAAAGCTGTTTTATTGTGGAAAAGCCCGGAAGTTCTCAGGAAATCAATGCCAAGCTTTTATTTTGAAAAATCCTTTATCCGGTTAGCTTGTGACTAATGTTGCGTTTTCTGAATGTAAAGTGAAAATGACTTGGAGTGTTACACACAAACGTACGGACTTTAACACTACATCGATAGACGTTAAGATATTATTACTGCTGAATATTAAATGAAGGTCTAGTTGATCGTAGTGTTTACAGATACGTGAGAAGCTATGACGTCAGAGGGAATTTCCGTAAAATAAGAACTGTGCCGGAGCGGAACCACTAGGACTTCTAAACTAAGTATTACAGCTGTTTATAAGGTATTAAATAGAAAGTCATGACAGAGATAATGAGGAGAAAATGCTTAAGGAAGTAGGCAGAGAATATCAATGTCGAAATCATCTGTGCTCTCGCGATATCGAACCGGCAAATGAGTAGGGGGCCACCCACTATTTGCACAGCGGGGGACAACGAGACGTGGATAAAAAGGCAGGACGAAAGATAACTCACTCTCTTCCCTTCGCTGCAGCCTCCCTCAAGACAACACCGGCTTTGTCTCTCCATTCACCATGCTTGTTCTTTAACCACGTTACTTAATTAAACTACCCATTTGAACCTTTTCAGAGACTCCATTAGTCTCGTTATTTTAAGTTTCTTTCCTGGGAGCGAGAAGATCACAAATTATCAACACATGTCAAAGCCTTTTATTTTTATTGTCATTGTACACAGAGTACAACGACAATAAATCTTATAGAAGCTGTAGAGACATTTCTTTTTTGAGGGTCCACCTGGTTCCTTTTCATGTACTTCAACAACGTTTCCTTGAGTATTATTAAAACTTTGATTAAAAGCCTTGAAACAGCACATATTTTGTTCTTCTGGTCGTGTTTCGTTCTTTGAGTTGGAGAGTATTGAACACTGCAGAGTCACAGAGTCTCCAGGACGGACTGGATCAGTTGGAGAAACTGCAGCGCTTTCAGGTTCTGGGAAATGTAGTTTCAGTTAGATAGAAATACAATCATGATTTTTAAAATAAAGCTGCAATCAGTATTAGGTAAATAAATTAGCATTCAAGTAAATGTATTATTACTTCATATTTATACTGACTCAAATACAAATTCCTTGAGTGAGATTACAAGTATCTCATTAAAGATACTTCCTTAGATGCAATTTATTGTTTCACTGGCTCTCTTATTTCTTGCTGTCATTCAATCAGTGTCGTCAATTTGAGCTCAAGTTCACATAAAGATTAATTATAGTTAAATAAGTAATAGTAGTTCAAAATGTGTCCCCCAATGTTGCAGAATAGAAGTGCATACATTTCTTTGCAAATCTACTTAAGAGTAAAAATGATACTGACAATAAACAATTTTTACATTTTAGTTGTTTATATGGAAAAATAAACTAAAGTACATGAAACAGGAATTGTAATGCGTTACTAACTAACTGGCTGTAATGAAATAAGAAGTGTATTTACCTTTAACTCTTAGGTCAGTTTGTGTCAAGAATATGATGTTCTGTTTGCTTATTTGAATACGGTAGTAGACCGCAGCATCACTTAGCTTTGCTTCTTGAATATGTAGAACAAATAGTTCACGCTCTTCTGTAGCTGTGATGCGATCATTACTCTTAAGGCTAAATGTCTTTCCTAAGACTTCAGGAAAGTTTCCAGAATCAATCCTGATCCAAAACAAGCTTCCCGAAGACTTGCGGGGACATGTCAGCTCCACAGAAACTCCAACACCAACCGTCTTTGTCTCAAAGTTTGGTTTTTTTGTGCATCCTGAAAAGACATTTTACATTAACCACAGAGAAAAAATGAGCTCTCTCAATTATTGTAAACATGAACACACACACCTGAAAATCAATAGGACATTTTACATGTACTTACGTCCCACTGCTAGCATCAGCAGTAAATAAAATACGATCCTCATTTTCTGTTTATTCCACTTGAGACTGGTGCAATTTTGACACGCATTAAAAAAAATTCACTATAATGTCATCATATCAAGTGGGAGGTTACAGTTCAGAGCAATCTCATTGGCCTCCTAAGTCGCCTTTTAGCACCACAGCGGAAATATAATGAACCATCAACTGCCTTGTGCAGCCTAAACACATGAAACAAAACCAACAGCCCACTTTTCATGTTGGGTTTCTATTGCTGACACAGAGTTAAAACAGTAAATGATCTGATGTTATTGTGAAATACTATTATAAACAAACAGAAAAACCAAAGAGACAATATCACACAATACATTTTCTGTTCCATATATTTTGTATTTATGTGTTGCGTGGCCTTATTACCAGAAATCCTCAACTAGATAGCAAGCAGTAATATGTTTGTAATTCATGGCCTGTTGTATTTTCTGAACATTGTTTTAAAGTATTCGAGATTTTAAGATTTTGCAAATGTTTCTACACACTAATCGAAAAATGTGCATAATAAACAGGTTGACTGAAAGGCACATAGTCCTCAGATACGCAGTTCATTTAAAAATATGAATCATAACAATAGGACTTAAATTGATCAGTTTGATTAATCTACATTTGGAAAGTATTTGTTAGACTATTACACAAAAATGGAGAAGCTGTCTTATGCAGAATATAATGGACTCCTAGTGATAACCTGCCCACTCTGCCTGTCAGTCACCTGTTGCAAACATAGCAGACAGAGGAGAGCTCTTACCACATGGTATCACCTTTATACATAGTGGAGAGAAAGGCAAGAACAGCGCACCACTTTATTAAAGATCCTTAAGTGTTTTTAAATGAATAACAGGAACACCGATTTCAGTCAAACTCTGGCATTAGAAGTATTAATAAAACTGAGACCCCCATCATCCCAGCCACAAACTGTTCTGTCTGCTGCCGTCTGACAGGCGGTGACGCAGCATCAGGTCTAAAACCAGACTAAGAGACAGTTTCATCCCACAGGCCATAAGACTGCTTAATGCCTGAGCTCTGTTAAGTGCCTCCATAACCTAAAGCATGCATCTCTCTGCATCTTACAATTGATTTATCTTAATGTTAATCACAATAAACAGTATTTTATCTTTTCACTAAAATATTATATCTTACATGTGTATAGACTCCTGCATTTACTTTGTCACTTATAACATTCTCTGCATTATTCATTTATTCATTGTTTATTGCTTTATTTAATTCTGACATGTATATAGTTTACGTCATATGCATTACTTGCCCATTGGTCTTGCAACATAATCTGCACTATTCTACTGTTTCTTGTTGCACTTACTTAGTTTTTATCGTTTAATGTTCTATATATATATTATGTTGCATTGTTGGTTGAGCTTGGGATTTAAGTTTTTCATTGCCATATCTAGAATGGAGCATTGTAGATATGGCAATGAAAAACGTACACTATATCTGTTTTCTTGTCTTTTTTATTACTGCCGATTTTTTATTCATATTTTATTCCTTTTTTCATTCCATTCCATTGCAATAATGACAATGTAAATACTGTTATATTTTACTGTATTTTTATTATATTATTTATTATTTTTAATATTTTTTCTAGTTCCCTACCTGTGTTTTAATTCATGTTTTATTTTTATTTGTATGTACGCACCATGACGTCAAGTCAAATTCCTCGTATGTGTAAACCTACCTGGTAATAAACCTGATTCTGTTTAGAAGAAGCCTCAAAGCATACCTTACCTTGGGATCCTCAGCCTTTTTTGAAATATTCAAATTTTACAGAGCAATGCTGTTGCTTCTAACAAGTGAACTCATATGCTTTGTACCATCTACATTTTTCTTTGTGTGCACAGCACTGCATTTGGCAAGCTGACAGAAACAGATTGACATGCTTTCACAGTGACTACTGACAGACAAATGATGCATGGAAACTTAGGGACTGTTGTGGTTTGGCTTCAAACTAAAGCGTCAACAGAGAGGGGCTTCTGCCTTTCTCACTCTCTGTTTTAGCCTCAGGAAACTCGGCATGCACTTCTGATTTTAAAAGTGAAAGTGGAATAATAAAACCTTTCAGTAAAGGGTAAAGTCATGACATGACCGTCTTTTTGACCGACTTAAGTTTGCCAAATAATCAACAAAAATCTGTCTGAAAGCTTTACAAAAATCTGCTCCACTGCGCAATTAATGCTGCACTTATAGCAGAGTACTCAGATGCATAAGAGTAGATGGTAGCCTCTTTCTCTTGGTACTTTTACTGAGCACAGAAAACGAATTAGCATTTCCTTGCAACTTCCCCCTCACTACATATCGTTTTGAACCCAATAGTCTTGTGTGTTCTGAGTAAACAGCGTTGGGCCTGTCTGTCAGTGTAGCTGTTGCATGTGGCTTTGCTTGTTCTCACACCAGACATGAAAGGGCTTTACAAAGTGATGAGAGGCTAGAAGGATGGGGGTTTTCAGTTGCCTCCCACAATTTCTTCATGCTGTACATTTTTAGACATGTTTTATAAAGTTGTGGTGGCTAAAACACGGACATGCAATGGCTAAGTTGCAGTTCATGTTCAGTATATTAGCAGCTGAACCACTGCCCCTGCCATGTATTTCTTTTATTATCATTTCCTATGTACCACATTTCACTGCAATCCCTAGTGTAGTGATTTCACACAACACAAACATCTTCGACGTACCGATGCACTAGATAAACATTGGGGTATTAAAAAGACTGACTAGGATACATCCTATGGAAACATTTGTCCAGATATTTCACTCTGGATCAATGTGTGGTCTGACCGGCAGACCCTTGCCCAAATTGTGGCTGAAATACACGTTTCATATATACATAACTAACAGCATGGGTTAATGTTGATGGTCAAATGAGTGACATGTTGTGTATTTTAAGAATGATTTGCGAATAGCTTTACCGTATTTATGCCTCAGACTTTGCGCAAAATCTAATCCAACAGATACACACATATTTAGGTGTAGAATATCACCATTAAAGCTATAACAATTTGTGTCATGTAACCAATGTACTTTTATTTTTAAGAAAAAGGTTATAAAATGATTTTAAGCAGATTGGACATAATTTCAAAATGATATATATTTTTTGTTTCCAGGTTATAACATTTCTCCAATTTCTGAAAGGGAAGCAACATATTTACAACATTGTAAGTGTGATGGAAACTTCTGAAGCAATGGAGACGAAACTCAGAGAGACACTGGGTGAGCTGGAACTTTGATGGCAAACACTGATGGTTTATTATGGAGTTACGGCCGGAGAACTGACAAGACATGTGCTGCCGCCACGAGGTGAAACAGCGGTTGCCAAACCAATTCTGAAGATCTCTACCCCAGACCCATGTATTTAGCTGGTTCTGAGAGAATAATCAATATTGTGCATAATAAGATAAAACAGGCAAAGCACTAAAACACCTCCATCAGCTGACGCCAACAGGCAGGAATAGGGAGACAAAACACTGAGATCACAGCAGCCCAAGGTTGCAGGCCTGTGCTCAGTGAGGGCAGTACAAACTGACTGGGTGAAAGGTATGGGCCTAGGAACATATTTCCCCAACAGTAAGCTTTAATCAGAAAGTCCAGTATATTGTTAGTCCATCACTAAAGACCTGACATCGGTGTAGATCGTCTCTCCCTCTGCTGATTTTGTATTCTTCCTGTCTGCTCTGCCAGTTTTCCTCTTGGTGAAGGTTGGTGCAGAATAAGTTATTGAGTCCTCATCTATCTGCAAAAATATATGGAAAAATGTTTGAGATGGCAATGTGATTTACATGTAGAAAATAAAATGAGTAAATTAATTTTTTCAGTCACATCTTCTCTTTTTTACCGTACCTGCTGCCTCTGCTGATCACCGCTGGCTGGTACGGGATTTGTTTGCAGAGAAAGAGAAGCTGTATTATGAAATAAAATTAATTTTATGACATATGATGTAGGTACAATTACACACATTTGTAATGTAAATCTAACGTAAAAAAGTGAGCTTTTCCCAATAACTGTCTGATTGATTGAGGTATGAGAAACATTATTTACCGTTGCAACTATCACAAGTTTTCATCTTGATAGTATAAAACAGAAAGGCGATAACAATCAAACTTATAGCCAAAGCAGCAGCTAACAGAAGCAGAACTACGATGGCCTTCTGCTGATCCCACAACTTAGGTGCTAAAATCATGGAGAAAAAGGGGCAAATGTGAAAAATGTAACGTTTTTTTGACAGTATTACAATGCATGACAATTGGATTTTGGTTTGTAAGGGTTTCTACCATATTCAAAATGAATGATTATTAAAGATTTGTAAACGCTCTGCAGTTACCTTCAATGTCCAGTTTTGTTCCATGTCCAAATAATATGTCCCCACATGTGGCCACAGCACAGTAATAAGTCCCAGCATCAGAGGAGCTGATGTTTTTAGAGAAGTTGTAGATACATTTCCGTGGAGAGCTAGCCTCAGGACTATTCTCACAATCATCTCCACTGTTTCTATGGGTGTAAATGACACTGGGATGAGATTCATCTGATCCGGCTCTGAACCAGTACACTCTGGTTTCTCCTGGACAAGTTTTGCTCTGAGATTCAGAGAGGACTGTACACTGCAGAGTCACCGAGTCTCCTGGAAGGACTGGATCAGACTGATGGCCTTGAATAAAGGCAGTGATATCTGGTTCAGGGCCTGGAAAATATAAATATATAGATAAAGGATACATTTTTAAAGAAAGGTGAAATCTACGTTTGCTGTATTTCATTTCAGAATTCAGAAATCATTCATGCATTTACAATTCAAAACCTTTATTGATCCAGGTGCAATCCCATTGAGATCAATGATCTCTTTTTCAAGGTGTTATGTTGCCCCCGCAAAGGGTCAGTAAAGATAAAAGACAAAAATAGTAAGCTATCATATCAAACAAAAGGGGTTTAGTAGATAACACATTAATAAAGTAGTAAAATACAATTATGTTATGTAGCAGAGAGTAATAACAAAGATAAACAGTATAAATGATTTACCTTTAACTCTCAGAAATGTCCCATTCAGAAATGTCATGGCAAGTTTGTTTACTTTTAGGCAGTAGTAAACTCCAGTATCGCTTGGCTCTGTTTTACTTATTTGCAGGAGAAAGGTTCCAGGCCCTTGTTTTGCTGTAATGCGAGTAGTCTTGTTATCACCATTATAATCAAAAGAAAATGTTCCTCCCAAGACTTCAGGGACGTTTCCAGGTCCATGCCTGATCCAGAACATGTGTGTTGGATCCAAGGATTGCTGGCGTGAACAAGTCAAAGTCACATCATCCCCAAGACTAACAGTCTTTTTCTCCAAGATCTGATCGTGTGTGCATCCTGAAAAATATAATAAACACACAGATGATTGCTTTGTGATACATTAAGAATAATTAGCACACAGCTGAATCATTATCAGAACATGGCAATTCATATAATGTATCTCAAGTCTAGATACTTACGCCCCACTCCAAGCATCAGCAGTAAATAAACTATGATCAGCATTTTCTGGTCAATCCACTTGTGGCTGCCGGTAAATTAGATCGTATTGGATTAGATTCGCCTTAATGTAATCATATGAAGTGGGAGGTTACAATTTTAGAGCAACCTGATTGGCCTTTCCTTATTTCATTGTACCACCACAGTGGAAATGATATCACCCTTTGTTCCAACCTAAACACATGAAACAAGACCAAAAGCAAGCTTCTGTTTTTATGTTTCATGTTTGTTTTCCTTTAACTGCACAGAGCGTAAACACACACAACAGAACAATCGAAAAGCAATCTTGATTTTCTTTTCATGTCCAGATGGAATTTTTTGATGGGGTGCAATATTGCCACTGTCCAGTATGATATACACATGAGTGACAAACATAGGCTGTCTGAGGAGCTAAGCAAACAAATACCTTTTCAAGCCACTTAAATGTGTGTTTACCTATACCATAGTGTTTACTTTTGACCATCGAGCAATTGTGTTACCAGGATTAATTTAAGAAGAGAACAACATTAACATAATTATAATAATGTGTGCATAATTCCGCCAATTATAAAAAAGAAAGCTGTTTAAAATATGATTAGCTTTTTCTGGTTCATTACATTACATTATTACATGTCACGCTTTTACCCAAAGCAACTTACATACACTCAATACTGTGGGCAATCCCCATTACACATTACAGCACCAGCAGTTAGGTTTTGACATGATTCATTGCTAAAAAGAACACGCTTAAAGCCAATTTCCTGGTCACAGAAATGTGAAAGCAATGTTTTGTATGCTGGCTAATAAAGGAAGATACATTTACAGGTAAAGGTTGCTCCATTCTTTTGTATTATAGTACCAAACAGTTTTGGGAGTTACGGATTTTTTAAAAGAATGTTCAAAGTTTAAGCAACTTCAAAAACACTCCTACATCTCCTACTGTATAACGCAACATTTATTAAATAAGTTTCCTGATATAATATGCCTAGGTCTTTTAAACTTGATCCCTCCTGTTTGTAATGGCTGCTCCTGTAACAAATGTGGATTAGTGAAACAATGCAGAAAAGTCCATTGTGAATGTATCCAAAGTAGACCAGTTTAAGAACTGCCACTTATTTGATAAATGTGTAAGCATACACACTAAAGGAATTGAAACGGAAACTTCCTGTGATCCTGCGCTCTGTAACAAATGATTAACTCATACACTTTCAGAATTGGGATTAGATTAGATTCCAAGGATGTAGCAAAATGTTTAAAGTTTGTCTGGATTCCTGAAAGGGATTCTTGGAAGTGATCAAAACCGTTCTCATTTGCTAACTGCCATATTTTAGTGATAGTAAAATGATTAATCAAAAACATATATTTTTTTTAGAATAGCTGAATACTCATTATAAAAAAAGGTACCAATACCATTAACATTTCAATATAAATGCATAATTTGTAATGCATCCAAAAATGTGTAGGCCTGTGTCTCTAGGACTTATCCTACCACATTGTTGTTATTTAAACATGCATGTATCTTTTTGATTTGTGTAGACATAGAAAATATAAGCTGCCGTTTGCCACATTGAGAAGGACAGAGGAACCATCTTAAATACTGTGCAAATCAGCCAATTGGATGCTCCACGTCATAAATTATGAACACCCCCTCTGCCTGTCAGTCACTTCAGCAGGAAGAGCACAACACAGAGTTGGGCTGTTAAAACATCCGTCCTCTGCAATACACTTCATTTCAGAGAGCTTTAGAGAGCAAGAAGCAGAGCGACACTCTCAGAGTATCAAAGGAACACATTTGTCATGAGACGATTTACAGTTTCTCTCCTGTATATTTTTCCCCGGGAAGAGAAGACCAATGTCCACCAAGGAAACAAAACAGATAAATTAAACCGACTATTTACAAGGCGCTTAACATAAAACAAATCCTGTGCCGCTATAGTGTCTGTGCACTCTTACACTTTTGACACTTATTAAAGGAACACCTATCAAGATAATGCAGTTCAGTAAAACTCCCCACACTCTGGCAGCATTTTTTTTATTTATTAAGATTTAGGGTTTCTTGACAACTCAAAAGGTGTATAGAGAATATAATAAGAAATATAAATAGCTTATCTATCTATGGCCAACATTTCCAGAACATTTGTCAGAGCTGCAGGTTGTGGTTTGTGGCTTTCTTCAGGGTCAACAGTTGACAACAAGCCATAACATGCCTTGTACTTTCACACAAACAGTCAGATATAAATGCATTCACACTGACAACCAGATGACGCATGGAAACTTCAGCGCGGCTGTGGTTGGGCTTCACACTGAGGTGTGAATACAAAGGGGCGCTTGTACCTTTCTCATTCTATAAACCTCAGGAAGCTGGGCTTGCACTGCTGATTTACTTATTTTTGTTTCAAATGGCAAGTGGAATACCACTAGTCACACTATGTGATGATCCTTTTTCATTTAACCTTACTGCAAGTTATTGCCTTTTATCTGTAGTTGCAGTTAGTCAGGGGAGGTGCCCATCATTTCCTGGTTCGACCCCCGTCTTTCAGTCGAATTTTAGCCGTGATCTAATTTGGTGATCTAATGGCAGCCTGTCTATTTGAATGTTTAATTAATAAATACAGTTAGATTATAAATTAGATGCTTTTGCATCTTTAGAAATAATCTTGAGATAGACATGTTTTTACTTTAAATGAGCATGTGTAAAACTAAAACAATGATGAAGCCTGCTGAAGTCTCATGTAGCTCTCACTTCACTTCACATCCTGTTGAAGCCCATAGTTCTGAGTAACAGCCTTGATGCTTGGTCAAAGGGTAGAGAGATGGCCCACCACAACGCATGACTCTCAGTGTAGCTGCTGCATGTGGCTTTGCTCCTTGTTCTGAAGCACAAGGTCTTTACAAAGGATGTGAGATCTGAAAGGTGGAGTGCTTGATTCTATTAAGTAGTTGACTTCTGACTTTCTATTTTGTATTTAGAACAACAATCATTGTCTTTTGCAAATAAATATCAATTGTGTGTGAATCACAAAATATTCCCCATGTGTTTTGTCAGCCATGCTTCGGTCTCTCCCTCTTAAAAGCACTTTGCAAAAATGAAAGATAACATGTATGCTGTGTAAAATATTATACACCACTTATTTTTCAGCGGAAATTGTCCACAGGTGTAACGATAACATGGTTATTTGCAATAAAAAATGGCATGGCCTAGTCCCTTATGTTACTGGTTTTACTTTTGCTTTTCCTGCTATAATGCATTGACATGTCTCTTGTTAAAAAGTAATTGTTAGGGTTAAAACCTGATCTATTTGAGAATGTTAGAGAATCACAAATGGTCAAGACTGGTTGTAGGACTATAAAGTTCACAGAAATACAGGATGAACAAAATCATGTTATGGCAAATAAGGAAAAACGTTCAGTACTCAAATCTAAAATACATGAAGGCATGCTTTGGAGTTCACTGCCAATAAAGCAAGGGAGTTTTTGGTGTTTAAAAACAAAACATCTGTGATACTCTACAATATTGTTCAACTTGAAAAAAGGACAATGCTCTACCTTACAGAGAGCACTATCTCAACACATACTTTAACCTGTAAGTTCTTCACATCTCTTGGTTTTGGTGATATTTCCTCTCACCTCTCCCCTACAGCTTTCTACCACCTACACTGTGGCTATTGTAATGTTATGGAACAAAACAGCTAGCCTACATAGAGTGAACAATACAGCATTGAGCAACACCAACAATGTCTTTGGTGTGTGGAGCCATCGAACTCACTGCTGTTGCTCAGTAAGTATATCCAGTATGTAAACCAAACATCTTATTAAGCTACAAAATTAGTTTTCTGTGACCATATGGAATTTGCAATGTACTTGATAAAAACAGATGTGTTTGCTAGCTAGCAGTCGTCATGTTCCCACATTGCTTTCCTGGTGTGTTAAACTATTAACCACAGCCATCGGTCTGTTGAATAGAGTGACACTGAAATAACGTCTCTGTGTGTGTATTTTTTTGTTTTCATGCTGGTATGATTAAATACACATTCGTAAAATGTGTCAATAGGGTTTTGCTGTTTAAATCGGTCCTGTACTTCTTAGCTAAGCACCCAAAACTGAACAAATATTTTATTGTCTAAATAAAGGGGCTTCTTTGAAAAAGGAAAATCTTAGAATATAGAGATTTCTGATCGAAAGAAAATGTACCACAAGTTTTAAATGTAGGGGGGAGGTCATTTTATACATTTCAGCCAATCACTACAATTGCTACTTTGTAGACGTTGATCTTCTTGTGAACAAACCTTCATTTGGTTGGAAAGACATCAGTCGCGCGAGACGTCAGAGCTGCACCACAATGATCGGTCAACTGGCTGCTTTGATTCTTCTTTGTACGATGTGTAAGTGCAATTATTTACTCCTGTATGAAAGACAATACCATTTGATGATCTTAAAGATCTTAAAGATTCTCCTCCAATAAACCTTTTCTGTATTTTTTCTTTAGCTCTGATTGAATCGGCAGAGGATCCTCATCTAATCTCTTTGGATGTGGTAGAAGTTGGTGGAAATTAAGTCTTTAACTTGATTTTTGGCAAACTAACAGTTACTGAACCTTTTATAGACACACGGTTCACAGCAACAAAAGAGGATACTCATTATCTTTTCACAATCAGAAATGTCAGAAAAGAGGACGAAGCAACATATTTCTGTCTCACTGGATCAACGTATTCACAGAGTTTTGGCATTGGCATCTTCTTGGCTGTGAATGGTAAATATATATATATTACTTTCAGTTATTATGTCAAGTCTCATGCCCTACAAATAATTGATATTAAATGTTATGTTTCCTTTTACTGAATCACGCAGATCAGCGGAAATCTGTCTACGTGAAGCAAATTCCGAAGACCAAGTCAGTCCAGCCCCGCGACTCAGTGACTCTCCAGTGTTCACTCCTCTCCAAAAACAACGAAAGCGCAGATCAGTGTCCAGGTGAACACAATGTTTCCTGGTTCAGATCTGGATCAGGAAAATCCCATCCAAGCATCATTTACACTCACAGTGAGGAACAAAAGGAACGCAGTTGTGTCTTCAGTCTGTCCAAAACTATACACAACTCCTCTGATACCGGGACGTATTACTGTGCTGTGGCTACATGTGGACAGATCCTGTTTGGAGAAGGAACTACAGTGGAGACAAGTAGGTTTTGAAGTTGAATTCTGAAATCTTTAGTACATTTTGAACATTAATGGTAGTCAGATATATTGGATAAATATTGATAAAGTGTATATAGAATATCAATAAATGATAGATGCTAGTTTGCATTTATTTATCTTAGGATACATTTTTTTTTCTAAATATCTATCTGCATAAGTCAAGTTGCATCTTTCAGTCAAACAGATTCACAGCTCTTTGATATTTTCAATCTTAGTCCAGGTAAATATACTGTTTTGTCATGCACTTGAAAAAGTTGGTGCAATAAAAAAATGTGTCCTTAAACAGAAGGCTCTTTTTGACCTTAATGTAAAGTAATGACTGATCGACAAAGCCAAATACATTCTCCAAATATGACAGTATTTTTAACAGACAATATTGACAGAAATGTAAATCTCTTAAAATTGGAATGAGGGGTTAAGTGTCTATTTTTCTAATTCCAGGATCAAAACTGGACGCAGTTGTCCTCGTACTTGGAGCACTGTTGGCCTTCTCTTTGACTTTAATCGTCATCCTTACTTTCTACGTAAATCGAGGAGTTTGTCGACACTGCAAAGGTAGGTTCCTAAATTATACAACGATGTTTTAGGCATTGATTTTTGCTCATGTTCTAAATTGTAGAAATGTAGTTGTATTGTAACTTCGGTTAATTTTACCCAGTAATAACTGGCCCAACATCACAATAGCCGCTTTCACACCAAGTACTTTGCCGTACTTAGTGCCGGCACTTAGTGCCCCGGCACTTATTACCCCAGGGCACTAAGTACCAATCGCGTTCACACCGGAGTACTTTTCCCTGAGGGAAGATTACGCAAATGAGCCGCTGACGTCACTTCGTCTTCTTCTGGTTTGGGTTTACTGGCAGGCCGCAAACAACTTCACGGCGTATACTGCCACCCGAAGTCCCCGGCCGGAAGTCCCCGGAGTTGGGGACTGGCTTCAGTAGAAGCCTTCCGAGTAAATCGCCAGATTGCCGACACCTCCTCATCACTCCACCGCTCCCATGTTTTTTTTTGTGTTGCCATAAGTTATTCTCTCTCCGTTGGTGCACGGGGCTAATGCTAATGCTAATAATGCTAATGCCAGCAAATACAATGGCGGCTTCAAAAAACTTTTCAGCGTTTTTTTTAGAAATTGGTACTTTTTTTGTACTTTTTTGGTACCACCTCTCTAGCAGGCACTGAAAATGGGGGTAAAAGTTCCCGGCACTAAGTACTCTTTTTGGTGTGAACGCGCGTTCACACCGGAGTACTTTTCACCGTACTTTTCGTGTTTAGTTCCGTTAGTACCCCTTATGTCGCGTTCACACCAAAAAGAGCACTTAATCCCGGGAACTTTTACCCCCATTTTTAGTGCCTGCTGAGAGATGGTACTTTCCTGGGGGAAAAAAGTGCCACAGTTCTGATTGGCTGGGCGAATTGCAAACCACGCCCCGTAAAACTCTGAAATGTTTTGTAGAGCCGCCATTTTATTATCCTTACATTAGCATTATTAGCATTAGCATTCGCCCAGCGCACAAACGCAGAGAGACTAACTTATGGCAACAAAAAATAAAACATGGGAGCGGTGGAGATGAGGAGGGTGTCGGCGTTCTAGCGATTTACTCGGAAGGCTTCAGTAGAAGCAGCTGGGAGTCCCAGCAGCTTCTACCAGGCTTCTACTGAAGCCAGTCCCCAACTCCGGGGACTTCCGGCCGGGGACTCCGGGTGGCAGTATACGCCGTGAAGTTGTTTGCGGCCTGCCAGTAAACCCAAAGCAGGAGAAGACGTCAGCGGCTCATTTGCGTAATCTTCCCTCAGGGAATTTATTCCGGTGTGAACGCGATCTGTACTAAATGCCCTGGGGTAAAAAGTGCCGGGGCAATGAGTCCCGGCACTGAGTACGGCAAAGTACTTGGTGTGAATGCGGCTAATCACTTTGTGTCTCCTACAGTGGCCTTTTTTATATTAATTGTTGAATAATTTTCTTCCTAAATTTCCCTCTTTTTAATCCTCATCAAGCAAGTATAAGTATGAATTAATCAGTTTAATCCAAAGGATATACATTTTGAGCTTTCTATAAAATGGTTGCGAGTTCTGGGTTATCTCAACATCCTTTCAAATGTCAAAAGGGGGAATGCAATTTAAATTAACTCTAAAATAATAATCTCTATGCAGACATGTCATGTATGATAATAATAATAATAATGATAATACATTACATTTATAAAGCGCTTTTCCTGGTGCTCAAAGCGCTTACAAGCAAGTAAAACAAAATAACAACAAAAGTAAAAAGGGCTAAGCTAGGTGGAATAAGGGCGAGGGGTTAGTGGATTAGGAGTTGAAGGCAAGAGTGAAAAGGTGAGTTTTGAGGGATTGTTTGAATGATGTGAGAGTGTTGGCAGATCTGACGTGGCTGGGTAGGGAGTTCCAGAGTGTGGGGGAGGCTGCAGCGAAGGTCACCATTCATGTACTAAACATATTTTGTGAACTTAAAACTACTGTTTCATGTAGTTATATTTCTAAATTAAATTCAAAAGTAAAAGTCCCATAAAAGGGTAAAACTCCAGACTCTACTTAAAAATTCAGCGGACAATTGAACCCCATCTAACGTTATTTAACTTTTGCTGCAGTAGCACCGTGTACCACCCGTAATCCTAAAACCAACGAGGCGACAGTGGATGAATCAACTGACCTGGTAAATATGTTTGTAACTTTGAAACTATGCACCAAATATGGAGGAAAAAAGGATCCTTTTTCTGGCTAAAACATTCAAACACTAGACTTGGTTTGGATGAAGTGTTTTTCATTTTACAGGCCTAATATTTAAGGAATGTATGTTTAATAGACTATATGATTTGCAGGATGGAGACGAAGAGGCGGTAAACTATGCAGCACTGAATTACTCCAAAAGAAAAGTGAAAAAAGTGAAGCAAAAGCAAGAGTTACCACAGGAGTGTGTGTACTCCGCTGTGAGAGCAAACCACACACAGCACCACGCCCCCGTATGAGCTTTGGTTTAGCTCAGCTTTGCATGTTTTTAACAAATGTTGTGCTGTTAATTACTTTGCTTTATATTTTGCTTTTAAAAGGCTAGTTGTTGATGTGACAAGCATGAAAGACCACTGCTTGTTGCAGAGGCATGAGGAGGCGACTGAGAATGGCTCAAGTTGAAATCAATAAACTTTTCAAACACCCGGAGAGAATATGTGGGTAATCAATGTTCATCAAAAAACGATGCTGCATCAAAGAGACTACACACATGTAATTGCTGATTCTTCTGCAAATAAATTGACCATAATGCTATTAATTTTATGACTGTGCATTGTTCTTCAATCTGAATTTGAATAGATGTTGGTATACTTGAGCCAGAGTAGCCATGTGTGTTGTACTGTGGCTCATGTGCATTTCTATGATCAGGGCCTTGCAGTGGATACAAATAATTGAACATGTGTCCTCTTAATAATCACCCAGCAGCAAATGCAGTGACTCGGAAACAGAGCAGAGGCTGGTTATTTGTAGTTCTTTGACGGATAAAACGGGTTGAACTTTGCATGAACTACATATCATTTTCAAAAAATGATTGTTGTATGTACTTTTGGTTATAAGGCACAAATATTTTAAGAAAAATAAACATGTCTGCTGTAATTGTACTAGTTTTCTAATAGCAGAAGAAGAAGAAACATGAAAACAGAAAACAATCCAAATGACTGCTTTTCACCAAAAATACAGTAGCCAATGGGGACGCACCCCTGAAAGTCCCGCCCACCTGGGACGTTTGTGTCAAAATTGAAAACAAAAAATGAGGGAGCGCAAACGAGAAGAGCTGCGGCGAGAGCAAAAGTCTGATCATTGAGAAAGAAGGAAAGAGAACTGCAAACAAAAATATATTAAAACAAAGAAAAAAGTATTATAGTTTACATGATTACACAAATGATTTGTTTGCAACTTATAGTTTTATTTTTGAAATTAAATTTATTTAGCTTGACTCAGATTTTTTTTCTCTTAAACTCTTAGTTTTGCTTGATTCTGAGAAAGTGTTGCTTTATCTTTATGAAACAAAACTAATCCCATACTTTTGCTTTAAAAGAAAAGAAAACAAGACCTTTTAATGCCCCCTGGTGTAGGGTACGGAGATGAGCAGAAAAGAGGTATAGAGGAAATAGAGTCTTCCTGCTTTGTTCTACCAAGTTGATAAGACCAAGGGTGTTTGGCGGCATAGAATCAGTGTGACGACAGCATAGATCAGTGGTCGGCAACCCCTCGCACGCGTGCCAGCATTGGCACGCGGCACCGTAACCAGTGGCACACTAGGAATAAGTGGAATAAGTGTGCAAAATATTTAAATTGTATTTTCGGATCCTGAACGAGACCGCCGCCAGAGCGCGTCTCCCCGTTACCTGCAGAAGGAAGCCATGATGCACGCAACGCAGCCCCGCTCTGTTTAACTCCAGGTGACTTTCTGCCGCTTTCCTCCGTGGTGCAGTGCTGATCGTTTCACCAGAGGAAAGCACTTCACAAATTGCAGTACCCATAAGGAGCTGTACAAATGCCGCAGTTTTTGCGTGGCTGTGTCTTTAGTTGAAAGCCCAGTGGCGATCTGCTCATCTCTCATTGAAATAATATGCTACAAAGGGGCGGACTGGCCATCTGTGTGTTGAACTTTCCTGTCGGCTCCCAGACCGTAGTCGAGGAGGGCAGAAGCAACAAGCTTCAGGTTCAATAACCCACTTTATCTTAAATGACTGGAGAGAGGCGAGCTCTTCTTGGGAGGCCGTTGCATTTATTTAGCTGTTCTTCTGTTTCACAAAATACATCACAGACCTCTGTTTTTCTGCTGCCTCGTTTCACTTCCAGAAACATACACACGCTCGCTCACTCTCTCTCTCTCTTAAAGGGACAGCGATCTCATCTCACTCTGCATGACCCTAATATCATAACATGTGTGTTCTGGAGAATCACAGAACGGACGATCGTCCTTATTATTATGCCGTTTAAACCAATCATGTTGGCATCATGTAAGTTGTGCTGACAGGTACACACACTGCTTCCGCGCAGCGAGGCTCCCCCCGCCCTCCTGTTGATAGTTCACCAGCGTCAAGCTCCTCAACCCCCCCCCCCCCCCCCCCCCCGTTGATAATCGTTGGCTCGCCGATAACAATTTTTTTTTTTAATGGCACCACATATCAAAAAGGTTGCCGACCACTGGCATAGATGTTTGACAGGCATTCACTAATATCTGTGTGTTTGACAAAAAAGTTCAACATACAAAAATGCATTTTTTATTTAAATTCATTCAATATCACTTAAGCATTAGAAAAAAAAAACATCAAACAAACATTGTATGAATAATGCAAGCTAATCCCAACATGTTATAACAGCTTTAAACTTAAAGACATTAACATTATATCACATTTGGTACAAAGACATCTGAAACAGTCCAGTTAAAAGGTGCCGTCTAAAATTTAAATCCAATATACTACTAACAAATATCTACTTACACTCCGCTAGCTGACCGCATTATGTGCCTATGCTAAAAGAAAAGCTGGTTGGGATCCAGCCAATCAGCATCAGGGCGTTTATGTCTGTGCAGAGGACAGGGGAGAGGATGTGTAAAGAGAAAGGCAGTGGGAGCAAGAGGCAGGGTAAATACGAAGGGGGACATTTGTTTTAAGATCAAATATCAACAATCTTTCTTGAGAATCGCTGACTCCACATTTGACTCAGATCAAAAAGCCTTGGCAGCCGTGTAGACCCCGGGGCCAGTTTCCATCATGGTAAAGACGGCAGTAGAATAAATCCACGGGTCTTCATTTCTCTAAGGAAATATATTACAAATTATTTGTGATGACAAACCTGATCGAGTTGCATCATAAGCCTTTTGCAATGTTTGTCTTACCTTTACATTCCTGTTTGCAACATTTTCTTGCAGGGACACAGCAGCTACAATATGACCAAAAGGAATTTAGAAATAGATAAGGATGCCCTAGTTTTTATAAATACTGATATTAGCATCAGCTAATAAGAGATATAGAGAGGGACTATACTTACCCTTGTCATGGCAATAATCACACTTGTTTTTCTTGATGGCGTGAATAAGGAAGGCTATAACAATCACACTAATAGCCGAGACCACAGACGGCAGAAGCAGAAATACATCGTCAGTCTGTAAATCACCAAAAGACCGTAAGCCGGTTCCTGAAACATGACAGGAAAACGCAATAACATTTAGTTAGAGTAAAACAATATGTGCTTTCACCCAAGAATATTTTACTTTACTTCAAATATTTCTTCACAATCCATATGGATTTTATTTGACTTTGATTTGAATGTAACCTCTTATCAATGCAAATGCAAATGTCCCTATCAAACACTTAAACCACACTGACTTAAACCACTTGGGTTGCTTATTACAAACATGTGATGTACATCAATGATGTCTAAGACCAGATAAAATAATGCCCAAGACATCTGCAATACTTAAATTAGATTGGCTCGCCATCCATAAAGACAGTTTAAAGAAGCTAATAGATCGGCTCGGTATAACATACCTATTTTCAGTTTTGTTACATCTCCAAATAATATCTCTCCACATGTGGCCACAGCACAGTAGTAAGTCCCGGCATCAGATGAGCTGAAGCGATAAGCACAACTCTTCTGAGTGTCCGGTAACTTCTCACATTCCTCTTGTCTTCTTCCAGAAGTGTAGATGATGCTAGGATGAGATTTATCTGAACCAGCTCTGAACCAGAACACACTGATGTTTCCTGGACATGTTTTATTCTCAGATTTAGAAAGGACCGAACACTGAAGAGTCATCGAGTTTCCTGGAGGAGCTGGATCAGATAATGTCGGACACTGAACAACAGAATAGTCTAAAGTCCTCTGAGTGTTTCCTAGAAAATAAAAAAGTGTTAAAAAGCACATTCGACAGCCTAAAATGTGTTTACATCTATCTTAAATGTGGTACATGTTTTATCAAAGAAAAAATACATTGCTAAACATTGATTAGTGCTTCATCAACAAATCTAAGAAAAAAACGGATAATGTAGTTAATTTGTGGTTTTAACTTAATTTTAAGATTCAGGGCATGGTGACATTTTTCACCACAGGTTTTTAATCAAGAACCCAAATCATCACAAATATTTGGAAATAAATTCTTCAAAAATCTTGTAAAAAATTAGATCACACATTTACCTTTTAGTAACAAATATGTCCCACTCCATACACGATTCCTAAGCAAATCCTCGATTAAGCAGTGATACATTCCTTCATCTTCTGGGATTGTCCTCCGAATGGTCAGGGTGCTCAAATTGTTACCAATATTTACCTCCAATCTTGAGTGAGAAAACCCTGGTGCAAATGTAGGTTTTGAGGATTCGGGCAGTGTCACAATTAATGTCAGAGTCTCTCCAGCACTCGGAGTTCTCTGCGCCTTATCTCAGTATTAGACAGAGCACACGTTAAGGTCGCAGATTCACCAAGTTGAACTGTAGTCACTGGAGCCAGCGCATCTGAAATAATTGACAGAAAACAAACCGTGAAACAGTAAAAATCTATTAGTGAACAAAATTAGTATTCATCATGCAAAAACAAGGTATCGGAACCTTCATATATCTAAATGTAAATATGTAACTTAATACTTGCACCTACATCCTTGATGAAGAAGAAGCAGTGTTACCGATAGCAGTAACATCTTGACAATGTCTCAATGTCTGTTTTGTTTTCAATGTGTACGAAAGGTCACATATGCGTGTCACTCTGCATCTGATTGGTTTTCACAGAATAAAGATTTAAAAAAGTGCACTTCCTGTCTCAGTGGTCCCATTCTGATCTTTTTGAAGCATAGCACTTCATTCTTCTCAAGTTATTTAAGCAAATCTTCCAATAAAGGTATTTTTTGAAATTGTAAAGACAGCTTTGGACGACAAAATCAATGACAGTGAGTATGAATGAGTGATTTAAGAGGCTTAGTTACCAGTCTTAGTTATAAGGAAACTGGATTCACAAAAGCCTAGACTAGCTGTAAAATTAGCTAAACTGTGCTTCCAGTGAAGACACCAGACACAAGTATCACCAGTAAAATATGTTATAAGAGTCATTAAAAACTAATCTCATAATGATGCACTCAAATAAGGAAAGTTTACAGATAATTCTGTTTACTTTAAATGTTGTTTAGGCACAACACATCAATAATGGCTAGCTTAGTCCAGATGGGAATCTGGAGCATTCTGGGGCGGAGCAGCCTTTTTTTTCGAGATAACCATACGTGGATTTCGCAGCTTTTTTCATCCGTCATCTGTCATTCCTCATCA